TGATCAAAAGTAATCATGTTACGTTTATTTTTCCCAAAACAATATGTTGCAGCAAGGTAAAGCTTGAGCGAACACTGTCAGCACTCTTATACTGGAAACTGGAAAACACCATGGCCAGTCACAGCAATGACAGTGAAATTTACAGGCAATATATATTGTTTTAATTTAAACCACTTGGTTTTGATGGTGAAAAGTGGCTTTGTGTTCTCATTTGCAATCTGTTATTATTGCCATTCCGCTTCCTAGCATTAGGCAGAGAAATGGCCATTTAAAGGAACATTGTGTTGGTGATGACCGGTGGAGGAACATAAAAACACCAACGTTTCTCTTAAATAGCTGCTTCTGTCATTTAACAAAACAAACAGAGGCAGACGAGCTCCAAGCCTCATCAATAAAATGGTGAAGCTCGCGCTCAGGAAGCAGGTTCAATAAAGAATTGAGCATTCTGTGGACAAAAAGACTTAAGAACTTAATTCATTTAAACACTAATGACTTAACATGTCTCAACCTGGGGCTACAAAAGCCTAACATTAGGAAAAACAAAATAGGCATAAGACAAAGCTAAAGCATTTCTGAAGCTTTGAGAAAAGGCATAGAAGGAAGCTAGACTATTACACAACCAAAGTATGTCTTTTGCTTTGTTTTGTTTTTCTAGCCAGCTGAAGGGTAGAAAGATGAAAGAGACAGAGAAAAGAAATTCCCAGGCAAACAAAATGTATTAAAAAAAAGTTAAGATGGTGGCAGAATGCTAGAAAATGGGTGAAATCTTAAAATACAAATACGAATATTACAATGTATTACGACAAAATAGGGAACTCACTAACTTTGAAGCCAGATGTAAATAAAGAGCACAAAATATTTTAAATGCACCAAAATATTCAAATATTTTTCTTTAAATGGGATCTGATTGTTAATCTGCAAGTTGGATAGGGTTTTTTTTTTTTTCCAGTTTATGTTGAATTCACCAAACATAAAACTCTCTGTATTTTCAGTCTTTAAAGGGATCAAGTAAACGAATATATTGTTGTGCACTCTTTTGGTAGCTGACAAAAAAATGGTGGTAAAAATAATGGATGTGACGGACACATGTAAAGATGCATAAACTGGGATAATCTTGTAATTCCAGTTGTAATTCAAAGCTGCTCTCTCTGATAAAGAACCTGCAGCTCTTTTATTTATTATTTGATGTTTTTTTTTTTTTTTATTAGTTTGAAAAAATCTGAATCAGCAGGTCAGATCTCAAAGAAAACAGAAAATCTGCATTAGCCAGTAAAAGCTGAATTGTTCAAGGCATCTTTTGAACATATCTACTGGTATATCACATTTTTGTGCTTGCCTTGTTTACCTCTGACATATTTCAAATAAAAACTAGAAATATCGTTACATTAAAATATATCTTAGAAGCTTAACTTTAATACCTGCCCAGGCATTGAGTGTTGAGCTGAGGGTTGAAAAAAGAAAACAAAATAAGACCTACAGAAATTATGAGATGTAGCTTTCCATTTCTGCTTCTACTTTGCAAGGTTAGTATTGTGCTCCTGTGCATGGCACATCATGGGAATCTCATTATGAGCTCTGGTAGCCCACTCTTTAATTTTTCAAAAAGCTATATGAAAGGCTACAAATCAACACAAAAAAGGGATGGCAGACAAGCCAGAAAACAGAAAAGCTTTGAAGCGCGCTCATATTTTGTTTTAAGGATGCACAGTGCCTCCACGTGGGCGCAGCAGGCCACTGCAGTTTGGCGACGTGACTGCAGCAAACATGAGGAGGTATACCTCTGACTCACTCTGTGTTGCAAGAAATAAGCTAGACAAATTTTCAAATATATAAATATTATTTATATACTTCAACCTGCTCCTCCTTTTACCAAAATCTTTTCTGAGTTATAAGTATGACGCAAAAAATCTGCTAAAAGATGCCTTAGAAAATGTATTCAAACAAGTTATGAAATTATAATGTCATGTTTCTTGAATCTTCGAGAACAAAGGCTTGTTTGTGACACAAATACTGGTTTGGTACAGAGTTACATTTGCTGCTTTCTTTAGCTCATTGCAAGCAACTATTTACTCAAGAGAACAAGGGAATGATGAGGGGTTAGATTCAAACAGATGGAGAGGAAATGGCAAAAAGGGTGGGGATAAGAGGAGCTCAGTGCATCCAATTACAGTAAGTGGATTAATTTCCTCTAATCAAATAGCTTGGTTAAATATCTCACAGGCAGATTCCCCATAGAGCCAATCTTCACACATCAGCAATCAGCCACTACATCTGCTCTCTTTCTGCTTCTGCCCCTTTTTCTTTTTTTCTCTTTACTTCTTTTTCACCTCTAAGCTTCCACTCACTCATCAGACCATCTCTACCCCACAGTGAGGACTGTGTGCCTTCTTCACTCAAAAGGGAAGGAAGCTACAAAAAGTACATTAGTGCTGTAAATGAGTTCTCCACTGATTTATTGGATGTTCGATCACATGGCTCCACCAAAGGGTGGAAAATGAACATTACCACTGATGTAGAAATGGCCTGTATAGTCAGCTCAATGTGAGACTTATTGTCTTATTGTCTCACATTGAGCCGATTCACAACTGAATCTGTTTCAATTATGTCTGAAACTAGATGTTTACGCAAAATGTGTTTAAAAAAACCCTCATATTTAAGTGTTTCAACAATCATTACCATTGTTTCACTAAGAGGAAAAAAGCTAAAATAGCCTCCCCTAATGTGAAGTATGAAGGTAGCAGCATCATGTTTCATCTTTGCTGCATGAGGGACTGGTGCACTTCACCAACTGTTTTAAGAAAAACATAGTCAATGTTTTACCAAAGTCAAGTCAGAGCTAAAGCGGTTATACAAACCTCTCCCAATTATATCACTTGTTTCATGAGGAGTGTGCATTTGGAAAATATAAATATTTTTTTCTTAATATTTTATTGTGGTCATTTATACTGGAAACATAAGAGAAATGGGAAGAAAGACAAGTTGAGGAAAATGTTGTTTTTGTACAGTGTATGTAAATATCTGGTTTCCAGCATTTGTTTGCTGACATTTAGACATACAGTTCTTTTCCAACGCTGCAGTTCTTCTGAGTGATGTAATCAGAATAATGTGCTTTTTATAGACCAATTAAAGCCCTCTACTAAGTGCCTACTAATGCCTTAATTGTGACATTATGAAAACATTTGTGCTGTATAGTTTTATCTGGAGAGATTAAATTAGTTTAGGGTTCAAGACGGCAAAATACAGCACTTGTTGTCTTAGAAACTCTCTTCATTATGCTTGGACGCAAACAAGCTCTTTGTTTCACTCCAGGCTATGAGCGCACTTCAACAGATTACCACAGAAGAACACACCGATTTCTTATGGCCTGCTGCGTAACTGCTTAATTGTAAACACATGCCAAACCCATGTGTGCTTTCACTAATGACGCAATTAAGTAAAAACTGACAGTCCTTGAAAATGTTTCAAACACATCGTACCCTTGTGGTTTGACCAGTTACTTTAAGTTTATTGTTTTGAGATAAACTCCACTATTTGTCCAGAGGAGTTCTTCCAAAATCGTAATATGAACATATTTAACCCCCCGAAGCCTATTAAATAATTTAAATTCCAGCTTATTTTTAAAGCTCTTTATTCATTACCAAGATCAGATACCCTGGTACGAGGATACAAAGAGAAAACGTAAGACCAGAAAAGCAGATTAGCGTTTGCTTCCAAGAGAGCGAGAGGCCTTGGCATCAAAACACCAGTGAAAACCTGCAGCAGAGAATCATGCCAATTTGCTCTTCTTCACTATTTTTTGCCCCAATACTTTTTACATAATTGATGTAAATTACCTCTAAATGGATTAATGGACTTCTGCACAGTAAAATGGTATTACTGAAAAAGGTTTAAGATGTGAAATATAAATGCATAAACATAATTAATGCATAATTGACTAATGAAAACCAAACTTTCATGCTGAATTGAAAAATTACCCAACATGCCTTGGAAATTCAAGATTATGGATTAATTTAAATACTTGGCCATGGAAACTATGGTATTTACGTAAGTTTACAGAGCGTTTTAGTTATGTTTTAAGTGAAACACATTTTAAAGTAAACTCGTATCCTATCAGGTTTTTCATTCTAGTCCTTTTAATTTTAGTGCACAAAAGATTAAACTAAATGATACAAACTTAAAATTTCATTTAGCTTTCTTTTCTAGAGTAAAACAAAAAACAAAAAGAACACCATTGTAAGGGTGTAACTAGTTACATTTACTGGAGCTACTATTTCTTGGAGTAGTTCTACTGCGCCATACAAATTCACTACTACTCGAGTGATATTTATTTTTACAATTTCTGGCTACTCTCCCCACTTCTAGTAACTTCCGTGGATGATAACCAAACATGTTTTAACCAAAATGTATTTTTTGTAAACAAGCTTTGTTATTCCATCGTTATTTGTTGTGCCACTTGGTGGTCAAAAGAACATGCTGTAAGCAATATATATTTTCACTGAAAGTACTTTGTCCTAACATGTACCAGTACAAGTAAGTGTTAATAAGCTGACATTAGTTAAATAGCAGACCATACATTTTCTAAAGCACTGCAATGATTCTAATTCTCCCCAAATATGTTTTGCTTGGGCATTCTTAGACAACGTTCGTCTTTTCCTCTTGTGAAGCGCACATTTGAAGTTTAATGAAAACAGAGTCCGGTCGAAAGGAGACAGATGTTGGAAAAAGCCATAAAAGCCAATCCACTGTTGATGTTTCTAACACAGAGAGGCAAAGTTGATCACATGAAGACTTCTAGTCCACACATGTACACCATAAACAGCTTTTGTAAAAAAATATATTTTGTCCTCAGGAACTCTATTTGCTTGTGGAAAGGAAATCAATTTATGTTTTTGTAAATACCTATTTATGAATATTATGACATAAGATTCAAGATTAATCATTAAAGATTAAAAAAGCCTACACGATATTAGAATCAATACAATTGGAATTGTGGGCCTCACCATGCTGTTGATCTCCGAATCCTCATAACTTGCTAGTGGAGACTTGAGGTCCCCAAGAGGCTCGAGACCCTCTTCATCCCACATATAGGTCCCACCAGAGCTATTGGAGGGAGACAGCTCCACTGATGAACCCTGAGGAGCATCTCTCTGCGCAGGAGACAACACCAATGAATCCTCCATAGATTCTTGCGATTTCTCTGTCGGGCTTTTCTCTTTATTTTCTATAAAAAACAAATAAATGTAGGCAATACGTCATGTCGAATCTCAAATAAAAAGAAAACAAAATAATTTTCTTGGTTTGTATTGTACCTGTCAGATCTACAGGCTCCCAGCCTGTGTTGTCATTGGAAGATCTCTGCAAGACGGCTTGAGTAGTGCTGGCAGGAATGTCTCCATCACTAAAAACATCTCCTGCAGAGTCACAATCATCTAGAATATCTTCACTGGTGTCACCTCTTTCCAGAGATGAGGCAGAAGATAACGACATGTCCTCCAGGGTCTCGGTTGCCATCTGGACATAGTTCTGGTCATGAGTGCCATTTTCAACTCCAGAGCTTCCACCACTGTTGCTGGATGAATCCGCTTTCCCATCTTCATCGGTTGGCTCAGACCCTTTAGATATCCTCAGAAGTCCACCAGAGTCAGATAAGACAGAAGATCTAACACCCTCTTTGGGCTGATCTGGAAACAGAGATGCCTGTTGTTTACCCTGTGCGGTTGAACCCGATCTGTAACCTAAAGATCCCACACTGTTTGTCAGCGACTTTGTCAGAACAGAATTAGGAAGCTGAGGTTTCCTCAAACCTTGTGGAGTGCTGGGCATGGCAGGGTAAGATGCGTTGGGCAAGGAGGAGTCAGTTGGAAGGCTTTTGCTGTACTGAAAACCTGAATCTCCAAGATTACTGCTTAGTCCTAAACACAATCTTCCATTGCTGACGCGAGGTGGCTTTAGGAAACTACTGCGAGGCGGCCGAAGTTGGGTGTTGACCAGGGGTTTGGCTAACTCCACAGCCCGATTAAAGGAGAAGGACCGTGTCATCGGCTCACAGTTGGGGGAGGGAATTTGTTTGAAGTGAGTGAAGCTGTTTGAACGCACCATGTGGTCCAACGTCAAGATCTTTCGGTTGTCTCTGGATTGTGATAAGCTATCCTGAGAAATGCTTCTTGGAGAGCTGGTGCCTAATATTGGCCGCACAAGGCGCGACTCCGACCCAGTTCGAGCAGGAATGCCAGAAGTACAATAGGTTATTTTAGAAAGCCCATTCAGTTGGTTTTGACCAACTTTTGTCACTTTGGGGTTCATCTTTGTCAGTTGCTTGGGAACAGTCTTTGGGCTGGAGGTAGCCACCATTAAAGTACCTGACCTACGCATCTTAGGTGTTGATTGAGAGCTACTTTTCACCTCAGGTAATGAGGGCACATGGAATTGTGGCTTCTCTTCATTTCCATCCCATGGAATCATAAGTGTGCTGGGGCTAGAAAAGTTCATAACATCGTCTTTCTTCAATTTCAGGTATGGTGGAGCAGGCCGGATCAGACCATTTGAGCGTGATCCATGTGAATTAGTCTTGCCATCCTGTATAGATGCAGGTGACTGTGTGGAACCATTGCACACAGTACTATTCCCACCAGCTGTGGGGCGTCCACCAAACTTTGGCAATCTGGACACCATGGCAGGCCCAGCTAATGCTTTTTCTTCCATTAGAGTTTGAAGAAGGCACTTAAGGATTTGTGAATATGCATACCTATGAAGAGAGCAGAAAAAAAACTTGAGTGACACAGTATACTGATAAGCAGTTTTTTTGTTTCTTGTTTTTTTTTTCTTTTAGAAGAAATCAAATCATTTCAATCAGTATAGAAACCCTCTGTTTATTGTCCAATCAGATATTGAGGGCCAGATGCTGAGGGCATTTCATCAGATTCAGTGTTTTGCTGTTGCTGCTGGTCAATTTTTAACTATTTTTACAATGGAGAGAACATTACACACCAAAAAACATTGAAGTTGTAAATAGCAAAATATGCATTGCAATATCATAATTGGTGAAGAAAAATACACTTCAAATATATGAGCAGATTTTTTTTTTTAATTTGAAGATTTGTTGATCCATTCTCATTTCATTATCTTCAACAGAAAATCATAAAAAAAACCACACCATTAATCTTTTACTTTTCTGTTGTCTCCTAATAACAAATACGTAAATCTAATGACACTATAAATAGCATTATGAATACAAATCAACAGTATTTAGAGCAGATGGGCAAACAAATTGTGTCTCATCTAATTACTGCCAAGTTGACAAATGACTTGGTACTCCAGTTAATGCAGGAACAGACAATAAATGATTTACTTTTCCTTTTCATTATGATGATTATTAGGATTAGTATTATGAATATTGCTATTTCAGACTGATGCAACCTGTAGTTGTACCTAGGTCTTTGGCACATTTGCAGCTATAACACCTGGCTAAGTAACAAATTGGGGGAAACAGATACAGCGTCCCTCAGAGACAAGGGGATGCTGGGATGACGGCCAGGATGCTGTGAATAGCGAATGGAGGAGCTGCATTATGTGAAGCCAACGAAAGGAAAACACAAGGCTGTTTCCTCAAACTCATTTAGACTCGTTCATTTCCAATCAACCATGTGACAAGTGTACATGTGTTCACTGTGCACCTGCATGTTCCATCCATCTGGCCAGGCCTGGAATATTGTGAATGAAAAAGTTGCTCATCTCCAGATGGCTGCTTTGGTTAGCAGAAAGTAAACAATCTGCATGACTGGCCAGAGCAGTGACTGTAAACTATGCACCAAGAGCTGTTTGTCTACACCAGAAAATATAAATGTTGGAAGCCACAGAGAGGCAAGCAGTTAATCCTTTCGGAGGAAATCTCTTGGAAAAAACTTCAGTAGTTGAAGAAATGACTCAATCAGATTTTTAAAACGTTGGGGGATGGGGGATGGATGTGCAGAGCATTGTGGGTCTCTTAGTCTGGAAAAAAAAAGAAACTAAACATAACTCCCAGTGCCCTACATCTTCACTGAGAGACACACGTGTCAGCAGCCAAAGAGACCCACTCACCCACCATCCTAATCTGTTTCATGCACACACTCACGGGGTATAAACACAAAAACACACACTTACACAAACCAAATCAGGTCAACATGGATAAACTGGGTTACTAAAGCCTCTTTGCCCTGAGGAGAGGTTAGTGACTAGGTTTGAGTTTAATGGGAAGATTGGGGGCTTTCACAACAATCAGTGGCCCCAGAACCTTTCAAGTTTCATTCAGATCCAGAGCGGCAAAGCACAGTTGCACACTTTGCTGTGGTAAACACTCCTTTATCAGGGTCATCGCTACTTCCACCCACAAAAATAATAATCATACTGAAATAAATATTATAGTGCCGGTGCTTTTATTTAGTGCTTGTAGGTCATACTTTAACCTTTTTCAAATATTCGTACAGCAGCTTTGTTCTAAGTCACAGTGTAGTTTTATTTAAGTGATAATCACTGACCTAGAATAGAAAAGCAGTCGTCTAGACAATGTGCATTTCTGGATATTATTCTGTGCAATAGCCACTTCCATTTACTGCTATTTTCTGCAGGTGTTCATTCTATATTTTTGCTCAAGTCTCTGCATCAAAGCAAACAAATTGATATAGATAAGAGTTGTTACAATCAATCAGATAGAATGTTTTAGAAAATATGGGAATGATTGTTGTGTACTTGTTATAAAATTAAAGCCACTTCAAAAGGTTTGTGTGAATATTTCAACACTTTGAAACTGTGGTATTTTCATTTGAAGTTAATATACCATAAGAATTTCAGCCTAAAAAAACAACACTTCAAATTTCCAAAGGCAGACTATTAACAATAATGTTTATAAAACTGAATTTTAGCAAAGCAAGTTGACTTCTATCAGTATCCAAAGGTTCTGAACAAAAACAACTCCAAACTCTCTCAGACTCCTCCTAAGTTATAACTCCCCCCTTATTCCCTTATTTTTATGTGCTTTGATAAGATATGTCCTATTCCAAAAGTGACACAAATATGTCATCAGTGTCCTCAGGCAACCAAATAAACAAGATCATAACTGACTGAAATATAAAAGAGTAAACAGAACAGCCCATCTGTCTAACCCTCATACCCTGAGCAAAGCTCTCTGCCCTTTTGCCCCTCCCCCTGAATGAAAACATCCAAGAGGTTTACTAAAACCTACTACTTTGCCTGCCTAACACCCATGTTTACGACATCAATTCAGAAAATGCAAGGAAAAAGCATTGCCACAACAGCAAAGATTATGTCTATAATACATTTTAAAAGTAAAGCACATTACAAGATCTGGGTCAGTTTATTTTGCACCTCAGTTGTGTAGATGGTAGTTCAGATAGACGAGCTGGAACTGATGCAAGGATGGTACGAAAAAACCTTATGAGATACAGTTCCCTTTCATATCAGGAAAAAAAAATGCAATCCCATGCAGAAAACCATATAAATGGAAAATAACATTCTTAAAGAATTTGGCAGTGATGTGGGTAAAGATCAACGGCAACACAAAACTTGCATTTCTTATATTCTTTTAACAGAGCTTGCCATTCAAAATAGCTAGAAAGACATTCACCAAAAGAAAAAGAAGGTATGGACAAAAATACATTTTAAAGTGGAGTGCTAGTGAGAAGCAGAGAGACAAGTCTCTGGACTGTCGATTCCCTCAGAGAGGTCTCCTGTAAGACCTGAAGCTCAGCATCTCAGCAGCGAGCACAGTTCGTGAAATGAACCGTAAGGTGAGATGACATCTCTTCTTACTCGCAGCTATACCAGGAAAGCAGCTTTATTTTTGTCTGACAGCAAGGATTTTGGCCTCGTTTAATTTTTCTACTCAGCAGACAGCTGGCACCCAAGATACCCGTCAAAAAAGTAGAAAAGCCAGAAACTCAGACCTGCAACAGCATAGTGGCGTACTTCCCTTTAGGGAGCACTTTCACAATTGATCTGCACATTCTCGCAAGCCGTGGACGCTCAGGATGGATGCAGATGGGATGCAAAGGCCTGAGGGTCATGATTTATTGGGTCATTGGAGCTGCGCATGAGTGAAGGTGCTTCATGAGACACAGCAAATCCCTATTCTTGCTGTCTCTCCCTCCAGATAGTCAATTCATCTCTACATGCGGCTGCAAGCTCCATGTGAAGTTTCAGATGAGCGGTATGCACACAAACATCTTTCTTGTATTTTTTTTATTTAAAAAATATATCAATGAATTTTCTGGACCGTGTCCACATCTCACTTGTCAGATGTGCGCAGATGTTGCCATTTTATCTTCATTAATAGAACAAGCAGCACACTGTAGAACAATCAAATGCTATGGTTAAAATCATTAAGCTGGTTGTTGTGTGAATCTCAGTGTTGATAAAACCATGTGTACATTTATTTTAGTGTCCGTTAATCGAAATCCAAATGAAGATTTCTACATTGTCGAGGTAATAACTAGCAGTAGAACAGAATTATAAATATTTGGCAGCGAAAAACAATTAACATCTTACTTTTAAAACACATTGTTTATTGATCATAAATGCAGTGACTCAATCACTTGAATTGTTCTGTTAGCAGTCGGCCACAAATTAGAAGAACATTGCAATGAATATAAGGCCAGTAGAAGCACGCCTTAAAACTACTGCATAAGGTCAAACTTAGAAAAGCTGAAGAATTTTAACTAAACTTGAAGTGATGTCAAAAAGTATTTCCTCCTCACAGATCTTCAATTTTTGATTTTGATCAGAAATTTTAATGTTTCAGATCAACAAACACATTTAACTGCCAGGCAAAGATAATCTGAAGAAATACAAAGAGGAGTTTGACAATTATCTATTAAGAGAAAAAAGCAACTTAAAACAACCTGGCCTATAGAAAAAAGAATTATCCCTTTTCCTGTTAAGTCATTAAGCTGTAATTAACCACTTCTTTTTCAGAAGTTTCAGAGGCAAGACACGGGTCTGATTACTGCCCGACCTACAGAATCAAGGATTCACTTATACAGAACCTGTTGAACAACTCAAAGCCAGTTAAAAAGCAACACAGCATGCTGTCAGCTAAAAATGACAAAATGAGAACAAATGAAAAACAAAGCCTCTGACATCTCAGTGTGGAAAAAGTTATTAAGCCACTTCCAAGCCTCTGTGACTCCAGCAAACTACAGGGAGTCACTGAGCGATGGTAGTTAAACATCGTGGGGGTGCAACAATTATCAGGGGACGTTTCACTGCTTCACAACTTGATCATTTTGGATTTGTCATTGGGTGACACTCACATCGTCACCCAATGTTTTGTCTGCAAATCATTGGGTGACAAAGAAGACATCTGCAAAGGCGCAAATACTTTTCCATCAGAGGCGTAATTTTTTATTATTTTTTTAATCATTTCAAATTTCATAATTTGGCTGGTTGTAGACAACAGTAAGTAATTTAAAATACATTTGAGTTTAGGCTGTTCCTTAGGAGCTATACAGTACCCACAAATGCAAAAGAAAACAGAAAAGCACAATCAAACATTTAATTGTTTTGCTCCAGCAAATATAAGTTAGTGGAAGCAGTAAGTAAATGTCCTCCACTTTCCTGAAAAGGCCAGTATTTAGAATATAAGATGTTTCCTGTCAAGAAAAGAGCCCATTTCAATTGTAGTTAAATGGACAATGAAACTGAAATAAGATTTTTATTTTTATGACTTACAGTTTTAATTTGAGCTACAGT